AAGCTTTTTGGCCCCGCGAATAATAGAGGGTTAAGAGCAACAGGGGCGAAGGCTCGGGGTTCTGTTGGGATAGAGCGCGTAATTGAAATGGCATTTAAATGTTTCGGGGACCTGTGTGACGGCATTTTCCCTGCTTGGGAATGTCATGCAAAATTATGGCGGTTGATTAAAGGAGGAGGGGGAGCGGTGGTAAAGGGCTCAACACCAGGAGAAAATGTAGGAAAAACGTCCCGTGTTGAAGGTCGCAGGCTTCTTGGAGTCATTACAAAAGTGGTCGCTTGGCTAAAAATCTATAAACGATTAATATGTCTCTGAAATAAGTAAGTAACAACAATGACTTATATTTTATTTAATTTAATAAATATATATTTTTGTACAGTTCTTTACTTTTTGTTTGCATTTTTCTATAATTTTCAAGCCTGCAAAATCCAACTTTTCAACATCTAAATAAAACAAATTTTTAAAGTTTCTTCCTGTCAAAATTTTCCATGCAGTTTGTTTTTAACTGAATTTTGTTGGCTTGTGTTTGTCAGCAGTCTTTATTGATGAAATTTTTAAAAAATAAATATAATTAAAGACTAAGAGAAATTGATCAAAATATTCATCTACGTTGTTCCTGTTATCAGTACTCGTATTTTCTAAATAACCGATTAGTTGCTTTCAAATTGAATTTTCGTAATTGCCAACTTGTGTTGCGTTTAACCTTTGGGCTTCATCTGCAGGCGTGCCATCCACCGCAAAACCAATTACAATCTACTGGCCAAATTGTGTCGAACTTCACTCTTCAATCTTGAGCCACGTGTGGAGCATGGCGACCCCAATTTTCCAGAGACCGCAAACTTTTCGACACTGTCCAACAGGACAGGCATGTTGCTTGGCAGGAGCTCCATTAGAAAGTTACCACCACACATATCAATTACACAAGTTTTCGTTAGTCTCCCGTCGCCTTGGTTTTCGGTCCCGGCATCGTCCTGTAATTGCATGGAAAATGGCAACCGCAGGTCCTGAGAATCTCCGGACCGTCTGAAAGTTGTTAGCCGGCGTCTTTGGTGCATCCAAGTTAAATTGAAATTTGCATTTCGCTGGACAGAGGAGTCATAACTTGACTGACTGACACAATACATTTCCGTTTGAAGTCCGGAATCTCTTCATTTCGTTTTCATTTCCTTCAAGTCCCCAGCCTTTGATACCCTTGCAAGGTGTGGTCGGATTTTCCAATTCGGGAGGTACTTTTTTGTTTACTTTTTTATATAAATTATTTATAAATAAGACTTATATGGTATATGATTGTGAGTAAGAAATAAAATTTAATAGAACAAGAACATTTTTAATTTGTAAACTAAATGGAAAACTGTTATAAAGCTTAAAATATTTGTTGTTAAGCTAACAATATTTTTTTCAGTTAGGGTATTTTAAAAGCTCAGCTAACTTGTTTTCTTGATATCTGTACTATTTTGTTTGACATTTTATTGTTTAAGTAGCTACAACAAATTCTGTTGTTCTTTTTCTTATTCCGCTCCCCTTTGATTTTCCTGTTTTTGCAGTTTTCTGACTTTAATGCGTAAATATTGTTATGCTTATACCAGTGAAAGCAGCCAAAAGGCATCAAGCGAAAGAATTCCATAAAAAATGCACACAAAAATTGCATTTCACTGAAGTGCGGAGGTAGGTGGGCATGAAAATGTTAAAGGTTTTTGGTTTCCCTTTTTGTATCTCTCACAGTCGATATTAAATGAAGCTGTAAAAACCTTTGCATTTGCAGTTGTCGCTGATGAAGTGGTTTTATTTGGGTCGAGATTCAAAAGTTTTTTATGATATTAAAACCGAAAAAGTTGCTAAAATAGCGAAATGTTTCAGAAACAATGGATGGAAACAATGTCCTTTACTGACACCTTAAAGTCTAATAAAAAGGAAAAGTCAATTATTAATAACAAGCTTAGTTAAGTACTTTAGACAGAGTGCTGGCTCCTCAATTTAGGTCAAAACCTTCGATTGTGCTATCGTTTTAAGGCGTTAAACATTTGCCCTCAGGCGGACCATTTGGCTTAAGGCACGGACCTTAAGGATATTGCTGTATACGACCAGCCTCGACGACAACAGCGAAATGCATTTACGGCGTAATCCAATCACGGCAATAATGAAATGGTAAGTGCCAGACACAAGAACCGGAGGTGAGGGACCCAAGAGGACCATTCCCAGTTGGAGATGCATTCAACGACCGGAAGCAGCCAGCTGGCCAGACAAAGCTTCCTTCAGCCGAAAATGCAACAGATCCTGCGAAAAGGGCTCGCACTCTCCCTTTTCTGGGTCACGTTTTGTATTTTGCGTGGGATTTTTTTGTGTTGTGGGTTGGTCTTTGCCCGGCGTAAGAACACTGAAGAAAATTGATTTAATATTAAGAATGTTTTCGACTGTTCAATTGTTGGTCCCAAGCAAGTCAGCTTAAGAGAGACTGAACTTAGAAAATAAAAAGGAGTTTAAATATGCCTTTTAAACTGAAAATTCTTTAACTAATTTTTATCCAAAATTGAATTATTTTCTTCAGTGCTGTTAGCTGAGATTTTTAATAGCTCACGTTTCAGATTGCAAGCCATAGCAGAGTTCCAATCGTTTGGACCAACAATTCTCGATATTAGCCCCGATGACTGTTATGGTTCTCTTCGTTTCTTCAAGCTCGATTTTGTTTTGACTTTTCAAAGGGCTTTTTAGCTGTCCCTGACATTGACATCCCTACACTGCTTTAGCTAGTTAAATCGATTAATCGAATAAGCGTGACTTATGGTAAACCACGTTGCATCAAAGAGTTACCTGAAAACCGCAATATAAACAGTACTAATTCAATTGCTCTCCAGGTAACCTCAGAAATTTGGTGGCCAAGAAATTTAAGCACACACACACAATCTAATCAACTAATTAAACCAAATGTCAGCACCATGCAGCTTGCCACATTTCAGCAGACAAATCAAGCGACTTCAACTTAAAGTTGCACAAATTATTGTGGAAAAGTAAACGAAATGAAAATCTGGGTCCAAAGGGCTCGAGGAAGCGAGGAAGCTTTGAGAAGTCAAGAGTAATAATGATACAGATGCCAAGGAGGAAAGTAAAATAAACCAACCGAACCAAACACGGAAAATTCTCACAAATTTGCACTCGAAAAAGTTGCTAAGCTGTCGTTACTTTTTCACCCATCTCTTGGCTTACGCAAAACCCCCAGCAAGCAGCTCAAAGCTCAAACGTTCTTGCCATTTATTTATTTTTTCCCTTTCTGGTTTTTTATTTTCCTTTCAATGAATTGCTTTTCCATATTTGAGTTAACATTTGCACTCCTCACCTTTCGCCTGCGGAATGCAGGTGAGCGTACGGATATTTTGAGAAACCATTCCGACCCAACTCTATGCTGGCGCGCTGAAACGCATAAATCAATGGGGGCAAAAGCAAGCCAAGGAAAAGTGGCAGAATGCCAAGTTCCTAAACTTGATTTAATGCCGGTGCAGCAAGCAAGCAGAGTACAATATATTGGCAGGTTGTTCTCCAAAGTGCGCTGGCTTAAAAGCTCTTAACTCGACTTCAGTTCAATCGTATCCAAATAAATCAACAACAGCACCAGCACCACGAAAAAGTACACCCGAGGCTCACAAAGAGTCGAAGATTTGTTCCTGACAAATGACTGGTGTGGGGAACGCAGTTGTCAACTTTTGTAGCCTTTCAACGTTAAATGTATTTCGAAGTCTTCGAAGGGCTCAATTGAATTACAGGATTATCTGCTGGATAAGTAGTTTTATATTCTCTTTCTTTACCTCTGAATATAAACCGAACATCCCAACTTATTCATCTAAAGAGGTTTCATATCAATCGAATCAATTTTTTGACCATCTCTTCCTTGAAAAGGCTGTAACTTAGTAACAAGCAATGTATAATTTAAGGGAGGTTCTTCAATGGATAATTTATTAATTCAATACGTGTAAAATTTATGTTAGAACGCTGTGGAATCAGTATTTAACACGCTTATCGTGTAGGACATACAAATGGTTATTTGATTTATATTTAATGAAAAGGCAATTGGCAGCACATTGGTCTCCCTTTCTGGTTGACTTCCTATCGATTACTTGCCATCGCATGAGTACCTTCTCTATCTGACGTTGCCACATTGTTAAGATCACAAATATGGTTATAAATCTATGTACTCGAAATTCCTAAACAAAACTATTCGCATTACCAGTATCCCACCTAAAACTCCAACATTTATTCTCTGGATGTTCCTAAAGAAATCTTAAGGGTAATATTGAAGTTATTTGTTATAGATCATCATCGGTCTTGGACCGAATTTTATAACTTAGGTACTCACTAAGGAACAACATTTTAAGTTTCAACACAGTTTAATGGACTGTTAATTATTTGATATCAAATATTTTCAAATATATGTGTATTTTGTGTAAGATTGCACAAGATTTTGATTAACAAAAAGAATTATGTAAATAGGGAACCATAGAGTCACATACATTGTAGAGCTGTAGAAATATTCTGAAAACCAAACCATAAACATATTTTTTATACAAACATTGCTTTATTGACACTTTCACAAGCACATTTACAATATACACGTTAAGTACTTAATCTAAGTTACAGAATATTCAGCTCATTCCATGAGATTCTGTTTGTCAAACAAACATAGTTAAATATTTATTTTTATCCCAAAAAGCAAGCTTAAGTCAATATTAACCAAGTCACTTTTAAATTGTTTACTGCTATGTTTTGTTAGGCCAATTGAAAAACGGCCATATATACAATTAAAACAAGGGAATATTTTCTTAAATTCTATATTATTTCTTTAACTACTAAAAATAAAACCCAGCCTCTGACACACACAGACTTTTATAGTAGCATTGACTCATCTGGTTTCATCCTTCGTCGGCTGCCCTCGTAAAAAGTTTTTTATTTGACATTTTACGAGTGTCTTGGCTGACTGACTACTTCTGGCTTAGCTGCTTATTTTACGCAATCTCGTCTTATTCATTTTTAATTGCATAAATCAGTGTAATTACCTAATTGGATAATTATTAAATATGATGCAGAAGCGAGCACTTTCTTATTATAGGTAAGTTTCTGAAATAAGCAAGGTTTTTGGACTTATTCATTATCTTTTTGTTTCGTAAAAGTTTGAGGATTTAATTATAACTAATGGTAAACGTTTTATTGGCAGTAAAATATAAAACTTGCAGTAAATTCCATAAAATTTTACAATATTTGGTAATAATTCAAAATTCTAAGAACATTTTTGTAGTATATCCCAATTTCATCCTTTCATTCTGAACAACTTTCATATATTGCTAATATATCGTTGTGCGGTTAAGGTTTCTATTAGAATCTTTATTGAATTCCATTAAATTTATTTTTTAATGCAAGTAGACACAAATTAATACTGCTAAGTCTATTCTTAATAATGTTAATCGCGCGATTTCACACGTGTTTAGGTAGAAAATTAATATAAAATCATTTAAATGCCTTATATATTTTGTATTTCATAAATTTCAAATATTTTCCTTCATTAATTTAAAGAAAGTTCTTACTAAAACTGGGTTACAAATCAGTTTGCTGCACTGCCCCAGACCCTCGCCTTGCCGTGGTGCAAAAGGCCTCCTGCTGTTCGCTCAGGCAAATAATCAAATTCTCCGGCGGAGCACTCATTTTGCCATTGGAATTGCAGGACTTCTGCGTTCCCGTGGTGCCGGTTTTTTCCGCCGTCGTGGTCGAGGATGTGGTGGTCGATGAATTGTTGTTACCCACATTTAATGGCAGCAATGGAGGCATCTGCGGATTGGTGGTCAAGAGGCGCTTAGAGCCACCCCTCTTCTTGCTTCCCTGCTTGGTGAAAACACTCGGCTCCACCTGCAGTTGGGCGTTGATATCCTGTTTGTTCATACAGGTAAAGGCCTTGAAGAAGCTCTTTCGGAAGTTTTCACTCAGAAAGGCATAGAGTATGGGATTCACGGCCGAGTTGGAGTAAACCAGGGCCCCCAAGAGCAGAAAGATGAGTATCTCCAGTCGGGACAGGTCCCTCTGAGCGGGATTCGAGTGAATCAAGGCCACCTAAGAGATTTAATGAGGGGGAAATCACAGCTTTAGCAGTTGAAATTAAAATTACCTGGGAAATCCAGTGTGGAAGCCAGCAAAAGATGTATACACTAATTACCTGTAAAAATATAAAAAAAGAAGGAAATCCACAGGATAATTCGAAAGATAATACTAAGATTTACCGTCAAAACCAGTCGGGTAACCTTCCGGTGAGCCCTTCTCTTCTCCTTGGACTTGGTGGCCTGTTTAGGACCCACCGATTGCAGTTTTCTTATAACCAAATAGTAAAAACTGAGAATAAAACACAGTGGTGTGGCGAATCCCAGGAAAAATGTGTAGAGTATAAAGGTGGTGCCAGAGTGTTTCTTGTAGGCATCCGGCCACATAATGTTGCAGGAGTAATTAATGCCATCTTCCTGCTCCACAGTGCTGGCATAAAGGATGACCGGCAGCATGAGGACCGCTGAAGTGGTCCAGGCAATCGCCGAGACTATCTTTGCTATATGCAGAGTTCGATATCGGGGCGAGGAAATCGGGTGGCACACGGCTATATAACGATCTGCGGACATGATGAGCAGGAAAATCGATGAAGTGAAGGAGGTGATGGAAGTGCTCACCATATAGGCTTTGCACATAAACTCTCCAAAACGCCAGCTGCAAATTCTCATTGTATATAGCAGAAAGGGTATTCCAATCAGGAAACACTCATCTGCCACTGCTAGATTCAGGATATATATATTTGTAACTGTTTGCATTTTAGAAAATCGCAGGACCACATAGATCACCAGTGTATTGCCAAATAATCCAATAATGCATACAAATCCATATAGGACCACTGTCAGCAAATCGGCAAAGGAATTCCTGGTGGCAATGCAATGTTGATAGGTGGGCAATTCAGTGCCATAGATTGGCTCCTCTGGCTGAATTGTGGAACTGCCACTAATCCATCTATGGTTTAGTTCCGTGGTATATAAGCTCTCGTTCGTATTATACCAATTTGTGGTATTCACATATGAATCGGGGGCTATATCCCCGTTAACCAACTGGAGGACGTCCATCATCAGCCACGCAAACATGTTTTCGCCGCCACCTGGATAAAATGTAATTATTTTAATCAGTTTTCCCACGCTGTTGTTCTCTCCCTCCTGTCGCTATGCTTTTGCATTTTGGCAGTTCTGCAAAAAAATTTTATTATTACATAAAATATGCAGGTCTTTTGTTGTTGTTGGCCTAATTATACTAAATACTAAAATTGCTGTTTGCCTATTTTGCTGGACGAAATTGATTCTCAACTAATTGAAATGTTTTCACTATAGCGGGGACATTCTGTGTAAATACTTAGATAAACCAGTGACTAAATTAATCTAGTCAATTGGGTTTTTCCAATAGATTTATTTAATTTCCTCTACTAAATTATGCGGAATATTTTATTCAGAATTATTTAAGTCAACAAGTTTTTTTTGGCAATTTATCTGTTTGCGAATTTCTTCTTGAAGGTTTTTAAATAATTTTAAAAATACTTTTACATTTATTTGGCTTTGAATTAGCATTTAACGTTGCTTTAATGTGTTACCTTTCATATACAGACAGTTGGCAAGTTTTCATGAACTTTTAATGGTATTCTGAGAACAGCCAAACAGCTTGTAGAACAAGAAAACTTTGAAAAATGGAATGCGAATTATAAAATAAATCATCATTTTAGACCCTTGAAGGTCCAACTCATTTGCACAGAAAAGTTGTAGACATTCTTAAACTGAGTTACCTTAAATTTGATTTCTTTGTCCATTAAAACCCACATTTAAATTTGAATACAAACAAAAACAAACAACTTTTTTATATTCCCAACCCCTCCCACTCGACGGTTTCTATAAATAAATTAGTCATAAGGAAAAGCTGGGCAGCGTTTATGCAAATATCAGGTGAAAATATTTGTCTTCTTGAAATTCAGAAAATTCCAGGGTCAGCACCTAATCCTTATGGGCATGCATTAAAAGATTGAGATATTTAAGCCGCTTAGTTTATGTATGCATTCCACATCGAATTATTGTCGACTTGGCCAAAACACATGTGGGGATTACAGATCAAATTAACTTTCATCAGAATGCCATTTTCCTTGTTGAGCTAAATTAAACTCACTGTGCATAAAAGTCAGTTAATTCCATAGTCATAAATCAAAATGTGGCTTAAGCTTAAGCTGACACGACTTTTGATAACTAATCTCCGTTGGAATTTTGATGGGCAATTTAAGAAAGAAAATGTCTTAAGTTAGAGGGATTATAAATAATAATTCTATTTGAATAGTTTTAATAGAAAGTTTTAAACACGTTTATCACCTTCAGGGCGTTCTTTGCATATTTAATCAAGTGGCTTGATTAATCGCAAACAAAATCATTACCCATTTCGTGATTTAATTAATTGCATTTTGAATTTACTGTGCCATTAAATATTCGAGGCAATCAACAGGACTTTCAGCACTTTCTTGCAACTTTAATAATCAGTAATATAACAAATATGTAATTTGAGTTAATTGCCAGGTGGCCCAACACTTGGCAATCATGCATTACACATCGACTTCCCCAACATTTGTGGGCCACAAATCATTGCTAAGAGCAATTAAACATGGTCCATTGGGCAGAAATGGTTGCAGGTTACAATGTTCATGTGAGAAGGATTTCAGTTGTGCAGTCAATTAGAGTTATATTTGAAGTAAATTCTGTGTAGGAAGGTATTTAATTGGGTGTCTCTGGGGGGAGAAAGGTACATTCTTGCTATATATTGGTATATTTTAAAGGTAATTGCAAGAGTTTGCACTTCAAAACTTTTAAATTATTTATTATGCAATGCAAAGATTTCTATATTGGCAATTATTAGAACCAATTTTAGCATTCAATATTTCTGATTTGCCACTTAAGATAGTGTCTGTCTATATATATTCCATTTTCCTGGTATATGAGGGTATTTATATTCCAATGTCACGTGCCCTTGTTTGTTTGCTCAAGGAATTAAATCCCAGTCCCAACAACAGGTGTAAATTCCCCCGGCAATCCCGCCCCAACGCTATCATCATCATCATCGTCGTCGTCGGCTCCTGAATTGTTGTTCGACATTTATTTGTGCTGTTGCTGTCTGGTTTTTATTGTTGGGGTAAGTGCAACTGTTATCGGCAAACCGCAATGGAGGCACAAATCGCAAGATTGCCTCGCTGCGAGGGCCCTCAGAAAGGGGCAAAAATGCGGACTGAAAAGTGGGGCAGCCCCATGTGCTGCAGTCGTGTGTCTGCTGCAATTCACTTGATGACAGCCAGCAAGCTGCTGAATCAATTTCAAAGAAAGCTGCTGACTTTGTTTTGTTCGAGATGTATAGAAAGGTCGGGGTAAGGCACAGATACCATGTTACTTAGAAAAAGCATAGCTAAGGAATTTTTTCAAATCGTTTTGAGAATTATATTATCTTGCTTATAGGAATTATAACAAATGTTATTTTAACTAATCGCTATATATTTTTAAATACATTGAATCATAGCCATATACTTCCCTAACTCAAGTCCTTAATTTTCCAAAAATGTTTTAGTTATTTTCTATATTTGATTGGTAATAGTTGTGTCTTCTTAGCGTATTCCTATAATAACCTGTATATTTCTTTATTTAATTTTAATCTACCATTATTATCTATTTTAATAGATGACACATATTGCCTTTTGAAACTTAAAAAAGTAGTTTTAATTTCTTCTACGACTTAAAGAGTGTCTACACGAAGGATAAAAGGCAGCTAAAGAGAGGTGACTGTGCCATCATCTGCTCATCGGTCCCTTGACCACATTTTGTCTACTTTCTCTGACTATCCCCCTTACAGTGTATCTGTGTCTATGTGACTTTGTATGAAATGGTGTATATGTATGCTTGTTTGCGTCCTGTGTGCGCTGCGGCATTTATTAAAAATTTATGCATTTTATGAGACCCTCAAGACAAGGGTCTCAAATGCATTTCCTTCGCAGCTCTTCTTGATGGACATGCGTTGAGACCCTTGACGACGTGGCGACAGGTTATAAAAATCAGAATTCTGAGCTTAGAGGGCTTATTTGGTTAAGAAGTTCGACCGTAAAAGACACAGCAGGCAGTCAATTGGGAGCTTAAAGGTTTAGTGTCCTTTGCATTGGCAAGAAGGGATAACTTTTTTAAAACTGAACTAGTTATTAAAGACTAAAGATAGCTCAAGTCTTATGATTTAATAATTAAATTGAAAAGAGGTCTTTATAATTGTTTATCAAATAAAATTATTCCCAATTTAGATTATTATCTCTTATTTGTGCTCTGATTGTCAAAGTTTCTTCAATCATCATCAGTTTTCCCTATCTTATTAATTAAAAGTAACTAGTTTCCCATAACTTCCATAATGCCTTCAACTTATTGTTCATTATCTTTGCCACTTAACACTCAGCGTTTTCCCTAATATACCAGAACAGAGCCGTTTGCCTTTGAATGTGCGCTTAATTAATTAAAACTTTATCAAAAGTTTACACAAGCCGCAGTTGCTGAGAATTGGGAAAGTGTGGCGGGTGTTCATATGTTTGGATTATGTTACCACATAGCAGCCCAAACAAGGCTCGGTACAATATTTACGGCCAAGGGAACAAGCGAGCGAGAAAGGAGAGCCACCAGGAAGAAGGAGCCGTCTGGCAGCCAACAGCTTGGCAAATGTTTAGCCGCTCGCTTTGGTTTCAAGCAGCCCCAACAAACACATTTCAAGTAATTCATGGGCGGCGGCACGGCAAATCGGAAGGGGGCAACGGCCAAACGGACGACCCAGAGGCATGCGAAGAGCATAATTTTTGGGATAAACACCAAGTACAACATGCATACAAGGCAGCTCAAAGCACATGTTGGCACTGAAGAAAAAATATTGATTGATGGATCTTAAAGTCTTTTCTTGACATTTCTTGTTATTAAGTAAGTTTTACTTTACCAATGAAACACTTCAAGTATTTTTTTTCTTTTTTTTCTAAACCTACACCCCACTTTGTACCAAACTGTAGGGATTTTCATGAAGTAATAAACCAACAAAGCCGGAAAGTAATCTCTTTTAATGTTATATTTGATGACGCAATCTGAATCTCTGTTACATTTTTCCCGCAGTGTACACATACAATCCTGCATGTGTATGTATGCAAATATGACTAGCAAATTTGCATGTGTACACAACCCAACACAACACAACACACAACACAACGCAAAACCAAACAGGCACACACACGCAGGCAAGGTTCACGCACACAAACACACTTGGCATTGCCTCGTGTCAAGTGCACTTGGTGTGGGCAGAGGTCCTTGTTTTCGGATTGGTACTGGCCGGGCTTGGATTGGGTTTGGATGGGCTTGGATGGGTGCCTTTGTTTATGGACCCAGTACGTAGCATAAAGTGCAACATAAACAAAACTCACTAACCTCAGTAGCCACTAAAATCCACCCAGCTCACTTACACGATAACTCGGTTTTTCGGTGGCGTTGCACTTAATCTTTGGGACACATTTTTGGCTTTTGGCCACAGGTTGCCACTCACCTGACCTTTTGGCCCCCGTATGAAAACACTAAAACATGTGTTGCATAACAAACATGAGTGCAACAACAATAACAACAACGGTCCCCCCGGAAACCGACAACAACAAGTGCAATTATAATCCCAGAGGCTTTTGTTGTTTGAAGCATTTCCTTTTTGTTGCACCTGTTGGTTTCGGTTTGAGTGGCACCCCCTTCCCTTTTCGAAAACCAAACAAGCTGCGGGATAATCGCCCTTTGTTACATTTTTAAAACAACTAATATGTGAGTTTTTGTATTTTCGAGCACTTATCCTAATCCAAACCTTTGTTACATAACTAGTTGTATGAACTTGAACAAGTTTTAGGAACTTTAATACATGGAAAACAATTATTGTGTTTATGATATTATATATTATCCCGAAAATAGGTGGTTGTATTCAAAGATAGTTTAAAGTTTCCCTGATTTATCCAAATTTCCAATTCTGTTTCCAGGTTACCTTCCCTAAGTGGCTATTTCGATCTTTCAAATGAAAATCTAGTTAA